TTTTTTTTTTGCCTATGTGCAACTTTTTGATTAAAAAATAATTTTCCGAGGGAAGAGGATTAGTTCGTGTCAAAATCTATCAAATTTTGAATTCAAATTATGGGAGATAAATTATAGGTTAGAAAAACTAACATACTATAACATCCCTTTATTACCTAATAATTTTAAAAGAAAAATCGGTGACTGGCTCGAGTCCAGCCGTTAACTGGCTTGACCCCTTGTTGATTCTATGCCGACTTAGATAATTCCAAATCATCACCATCAAATCCTTTTTCCAACTAATTGGGGCCAACTAAATGAATCTTGGTCCGTCAATTTGTTCTATTGAGGGCCATACCTTCACTGAGGCTATAAGCCATTATATTTTTTCTCACTACTTCCAACAATATTCTTTTGGGCCTATTTCTTGTCCTTTTGAGCTTTCTACTTGAACCAACTCTTGCCTCCTAACCGGTATTGTATTAGGTTTGTCTTTTCACAAAAAAAAAAAAGAAGATAATTTTAGTTTTTCAATATATTGGATCGATAATTTAAAAAAATAGAGAGATCAAGGAAGATGTCACATATAAAATTAGAGCTGGGTGGACAAAATAAAGATGCATAACATGAATTTTATATAAAACCGCACACTAATGAAGTTGTTGGACAAATTCTAAAGGTTAACTGTGAGACCAGCTTCGCTCTATGGGATAGAATGTCGAGTGGTCAAAAAATAATATACACATAGAATGAGTGTGGTGGAGATGAAGATGTTGCGATAGATGATGAGTGGTAAGACAAAATGAGATAGAATTTAAAATAAATACATTCGAAAAAAATTTAGATATGGTATCAATAGGTGATAAGATGAGAATGCGCAGACCGAAGCGTACTGGTCATGTTTCGGCACTAAAAATCTGAACTACTTTTCCAAAGCACTCACTTCGTCGTTCTAAAATGGATTCGGACAAAGTAGATCTTTTGCCTAGGGACTAATTATACAATATACTCCTGCGTGAGCACGCACATGATTCATCGCCCTTTCCTTTATTCTCATTCCCAAACCCGCCCTCTTAAAACAAAAATCCGTAACGTCTTAGAGCACATGTTTATTCTCGAGTGAACTCTACACTTGCTTCCTCGATCAGAAAATCTATTTCAGAAAATTTTTTCAATTTGAAATTTTTATAGCCACCGAAAAATCACAAGATAGATTATTTTTAAAAGAAGTTCGAATTTTAAATTTTCTAACACTTAAATCTTACCTTTCAAAAATTGGACAGTCTGTGATAAACCTTAAGAAAGTGCATAGAGAGTAGAATTAAGAATTTCCTTTTTTTTTCTTTTTTTCTTTTTTTTATGTTGATCTGGATTGAAGGAGTTACATGCCTAAATTTTTCGGATGATAAAATTATTCCTAGAATAAGTTTAACCATAGGGAATAGCGGTACAATGTACTCATGTGGCTATAAGGAGAATTAAGACAGCCCAAGCTTCTCTAAAAACTTGGCAAACACAATAGGAAAATGGTGTGATAGGGCTGCAGCCCCTATCAAAATAAGTAAAAGCCCCACCTAATAATTCATTGAAAATTATAATTTAAGTATGGGTGAAGTTTGTATGGAGCGGAGGCTCTAAACAATCAAAGTAAAGCTCACCTTCAAAAAGTGTCGAGAAATGTGAATCTTTGTGATAGCCTTAAAATATATTTTTATCTTTAATTATAAAATTTAAAGCTTAAAAATAGTGTAGATCAAGCAGATCTATGAAAATCTTGAAAATTGACGGTCTAAAAATATGTTACAAGATGCACTATTTCCAAAACTTGAACTCTATATTTTCTCATGTCCGTGCATCTTGATGTTGAGATGATCAAATTGGGGATATTTGGGCATCAAAACAACATGCTCTAGTGAAATTTTTGAGGTGGGCTCTAATTTGATTGTTTAGTGCCTCAACTATAAATAAACTTTTTCCCTTAAATATTGGAAAACCTTTGCATCAATCATCTCCACTTAAACACTACGGTTGTCTAAAAAATAAGGATGTGAAACTCTAAAAAAAAGTGTATGTTTTAACAAATTGTCTAGATCGTATTTTTCCTTAAAAATAAGTGTTTAAAGATATGTTATCAAATTCACTTATTTGAGTTTCAAATTTCCGTACCTTTTTTGAGTTTAAAATTCCTGTACCTTTTTTGAGTTTCAAATTTATTCGGTGTTAAAAATTCATTTTAGAGCCATTATAAAGATTTTCATTGCCAAAACAATGTTATAAAATTCACTTCGAAGAGACCGAAGCCTTCGAATTTTAGGCATAAACCGAAGAGAAACGAAGTCTGGTGCTGTCGTTTCTATCAGATTCGGACCGCTTCGGGTTGCTTCGGTCAAATTTAGACCGCTTTGGGTATGCTTCAGTCAAATTTGGACCGCTTTCGGGTATGCTTCGGGTAGCAAAGAAATAGCTGTATAAGTGTAGTTTTTTAAATTTTTCATTATTTGTATATATTTTATATATAAATATCTAATTTATTTATATTAAATTTAAAAATTCGAAGTCTTTTCATAAATCGACCCAAAACACCGAATTGCTTCATTTTTTTCACCAAACTAAAAAAGACTTTGGACAACATTAATGTTTAGACATGGATTTGAGATGAGGCTTTGTCTAGCTTTCATAAAGCCTAACCCTCATAGAAAAGGACAAAGTTTATATAGAGCTGAGGCTCTAAACAATCAAATTCGAGCCTACCTCAAAAATTTCACTAGAAGAGGTTGTTTTGATGCCCAAATATCTTCAAATTAATCATTTATATTTCAAGATGCATATGCATGAGAAAAAAAAATAGATTTGATTTTTTGAAAATAATATATTTTCTAATGTATTTTTGGACCATCAATTTTCAAGATTTTTAAGTTTTTATAGATTTCTTGATCTATACTCGTTTTTTAGTTTTAAACTTTAAAAATAAATATAAAAACATATTTTAAAGCTATCAAAAAAATTTGAAACCATATTTCTCAATACTATTTAAAAGTATTTCTCAACACTATTTAAAAGCTAATTTGGTTTTATAGAGGTATGTTCTAATTTGATTTTATAGAGAGTAGGCTTTGTACAAACTGCACCTTATCGAAGATTCATCTAACAAAATATCCAGTATTATAGTACCTCAAAATCCAGTCCATCCACGTGGCGATGCTGTCAACAGCAACGCAACACTCGTCGAAATTCTATTGGTTGTGTGGAACACGTGTCAAATAACTAGAGGCCTCTCACAATTGGCGGGGCCCACCGTTCAGCAAAGGAATCATTCGTAATCATGGTCGAGAACAAATGCAAGCGAACTCGATTCCCTATGCAAAGCCCAAACCCTACCCCTAAAATCGACACAATTTACCATTTTACCCTCAATCCGTTACCTCGCTTTTAAGCCCAACTACCCAAAACCCTAAACCCCCTTCCTACGCCAAGGTGTATCCTTCTGGAAGGTTAGGCGTTAGGATTCATAAAAACGGAGATCATCTTTATAACGGAAGCATCGAAAAGCATAGAAAACGAGAAACATGGCAAGAAGAAGTAAAACAAGGGGAAGCATCGAAAATTTTAAAAGTAGCATAACTTTTTAAAAGGTAGATAATGAAATATGTTAGTCGTTCTAAAATATAAATCATTTAAATGTTGGTTTTAAAAAATAACGGCTGAATTGCTTGTCTGAAGTAGAAAACGGTTGTTTTCCCATCCTTCCGTTTTATTTCTAAAGCCACTGATCCCTTATATTATAGTTAATACATTCTTATACCAACAGTGATTCATTATATTATAGTTTATACGTTCTTATACCAACAGTAATTTGTAACTTTAAAATTTATCAAAGTATATCTCATTTGTAAACAGCTGTGGCTATATGCAGCCTTTTGAAATCGAGCGATTTTCAATCTGAATTGGCGATCTGGGAATCAGTATGGATCGAATCGGGGATGGAATGGGTCTTGGCCCCAATCCCCCTATTTCCCCTAGGTCCTTTAAATCCATACTCCATAAACCTCTAGTTTAATTTTTATTTTATTTGTTTTTAATAAATTTTGGATCACCGATTCAGGCTAATCCAAACGTATTCTGAATTACCGATCAAGGTATTTGATATGGATTTGTGGGTGAGCAATCTACCCCACCAATCCAGATTTTTAAAAATTGGTTCTATGTGTTTTAATAGGCTCTTGGAATCTAAATTATAATAAACAAATAAAATATTAAATAATTTATCTATGGGAGTCCGGCACCCTTCTTATTAAAAGGTAGGGGCCCAAATCCCCACATACTTATTATTTTATGAAAATAGTCTAAGGCTTTGGTGGTAGTACCATTGAGCCTTACGATGAAGTGTTGGACTTCATTTTCATTAATATCTGCTACTGTTTTTTTTTTTTTAAATAGAGTATATTTTAATGGATTTTCCATGACTCATTTGCCTCGTTTTTTAAAGGATAGGGAAAGTTTTTTGTGTGACCCTGATACTATTTAAGTTATATGTGACCCTACTTCTTAGCCGTTTGATCTAAATCAGCTACAATTATTCATGCGACAATGTCACGCCAAACACTATTTTATTTTTCATTTTTTTCTACAAAATCTTTTTGGATGAAATTTGGGGCGTCCAATCATAAAATTAGGATGAACCTGAAAAAAAATAAAAAATAAATATTTTTTTCTAAAAAATGACCAAAATGCTCATGAAATTTTTAGAGTTGTTCTAGTAATTTTTCATCACTCTAAATATTGTTTTATCATTTTTATCATGTGCGACACTGCCATATGCAAACCCTAAATTATGCTTCAAAATGTCTTATAAAATAAAAATTGAATATAAAATACTCTGACCCGTCCGATCAAGATCTAAGGATTTAGAGCCAATTGTGACTCAAGCCATTTCAGGCATCTGTTCAGTTATCAAGGGTCATGTATTCTATATATATGTGGGTGGAGTTACACCGTTGCATAGGAAGCTTTCCCGATTGGAATAACGGTCCTCACCCCGTTACTATGGAATCGCGTGAGCTAGTGAGGCGTACAGTGATAACTTCCGTCATCGTTATTTTGATAGTTGAAACACACCGTTAACCCGTGGTTAACTAACCCGGGTTAGTGAGAGGGGGAAAACCCTAGAATTGGATTCTTCGTAGTACAGTTATATGGGGTCGTGGACTTGGGTTAGTTTAGTTTTACAGTGGGGTTTGATTAGGGTTAACAAAGAGGAGGATTAAGTTAATGACTACTTGTCAGTACCCACTATTTGATCGGGCAGCTTGACCTGCGTTTTCCTTTGCAAAAGATCGAAGAGGCTGCCCGCGCTGCCCGTAAGCGCTTCGCTATTCCCTCTCTGTAATTCAGTTATGACGCAGTGAAAAAAGAAAAAGGAAAGAAACAAGAGAATGCAAGCTCTCTCCCTCTACGCCTTTCTCTCTCTAGCTCTCTCTCATTAAAGCCTGCAAGAGCTCTCTCTCTCACACTAAAACCTGCAAAAGCTCTCTCTGTCTTACTGAAGCTTGCACGAGCTCTCTCTCTCTCTCTCTCTCTCTCTCTCTAAATCTCTCTCTGGAGTATTGGCTATTGACGATGAAGGTGAGCTTGCAGGAGTCTGATGTAGTGTTTTGCGAGTTTTAGAGAGAGAAAGAAGCGGGATCTGTAAGGTATTTGCTGTGTTTGTGGTGTTCATCAGTTTTTTTGTCCCTTTTTTGCACTTTTTATCAGCTTTATTCCTCATTTTAGATGAATTTGGTTGTTTTTAGAGCTTTCCAGTGGTTTCTGTATGTGTTTTTTTGCGTTTTGCGACTGAAAATGCGTAAAGTTTGTTTTTTCCCCTTTATTTTGCTTTGTTCCTCGCCTTTTGAGGTTTTGTGAACAAGCTCATGGCGTGATTTTCTGTTTTTCTTCTTTTTGAGCTTCATTTTCTCGTCTTTTGATCCTTTTTTTCTTTCTTCCGAGTATAATTAATTTGTATATTCCATAAAAAATTCGATTTTTCTCCGAAGTTATTGACTTTCTGCCTATTTCTATGTTTCTCCAGTAAAAACTCATTTTCCGACTTAGATCCCGTCTTTACTCGTTTATTTTTACCGGAAAATGTCCACATTCCGGCCGTAATAGTCAACTTCCTGCCGGTGAAGCAGTACTCGCCGGAAATGGCAAAATTCTGTCCAAAGAGAGCGATTTCCGGCTGTCTTCTGGTGAAAAGCCTATTGTTTGGACGACCTATCAATAGGCACTCATTCTATGAGTATCACTAGGCACTCATTCTATGAGTCTCTTGGCCACTTCAAGATTGATTTGCTCCAATTTTTCAAGATCTGACGGCTGTTATCGATTTTCAGGTTCTGAAGGCCGCGTCTTAGCCATTGATATGGATAGCGACCGAGGTCCGACTCAGATCTGTTCTTATATTCAGGGTTCGATCGCAGGAGACACAATGGCTTCACTCGTGCGTTGTGGATTTGTCGGTGCTCTGTATCAGAAACAGGTTACACCTTTTTGCTTAACTGGAAAAAATGATTTTTTTTATATCTTTTTTATTATTTTATTACGTTTTTCTCCATCTGATTAATTTCCATTTATGAGAAAACTCGAGACAATTTTTTTTCAACTAATTATTTAGTTTTCATTTTTATAGTCATGGAAACATCTATTCTCTTTATCCATCGTTTCCCTCTCAGCGTCGTTTTAAAAACCGCCTTCCCTAAAACCTGTGGTTTTGAATAACCGCCGTATTTACAGAACCACGGTGAAACAACCTGGTTTCACAAAACCAGTGTGACGAAAACCGCTATTCACTGAATAACCCGGTTTGAGTGGAAACCGCTTTTTGTTTGTTTATGGTTTTAACGGCATCACTTCCCTTAGTTGCAGAACACTGCCGGGAAATTGATTCCCGGCGATTTTGATTGCCGGAAAAGTTGCAACGAGCCAGAGCCAGCAGATGCTGACGACAACGGTGACGATGACGATGAAGACGACGACGGAGATGATGGTTTCGGTGAGGGCGAGGAGGAGTTGTCTTCAGAAGACGGAGGGGGGGGAGGTTACCGTAAAAATCAGAAGCTGCCGGAAAAGACAGGTGGCACCACCGGTGGTGGCGGTGAAGGGGAAGAGAACGGAGAAGATGCAGGGGATGATGACGAAGGGGATGACGATGATGATGATGGTGAAGACGATGATGACGATGATGATGGTGAAGAAGATGATGATGATGATGATGGGGATGGTGATGATGGAGAGGAGGTGGAGGAGGAAGAGAAAGAAGAGGAGGAGGAGGAAGATGAAGACGAGGAAGCTCTTCAGCCACCAAAGAAGAGAAAGAAATAAATAACCAGAAGAGCGAGAGAGAGATTGTAGTTTTTTAGCTTAATTTCTTTTAGAGAGAGAAATGTTTTGTAGGTTTTTTTCCCCCTTTAATATTTACTTTTTAGGGTTAGGACTTGTGTTTTCTTTTTCTTGGTTTTAAGCTGGATGATTGGGTCGCTGACTTCGCCTAAAAGTGAAAGTATGGTTTATGAGAAGAAAGTTTGTAATGACCAATTAGTCCGTTATTTGAAAGTAAGAGAGAAAAAGGGCGAGAAGGGGGGTGATGGAATTCATGTGAGCGGAGGTGTGGTCCCGAGTGCGGCATATGCGGCATCACGGTCCGTTAAGTGGGACACTGCTGGCTTATCCATGAAAAATATTTGGAAGTAAAAAACAAAAATATTTCTCCACGGTCGGCGTCAGAGTTTTTTTTAAGGATATATTGCAAAAACCTTTCCAAAATGGATTTTCTACGCACGTTACTCCATACCGACCTTTTTTTTTTTTTAGCAATTTCCCACCAAATAATCATGTTTACGAGCAAATGTATCTATACAAAAAGTTAATTTTTTTTTACAAAAATACTATTAGCTCAAATAACAAATTATTTCCGGATCCTTATAAAAGGAAATGCCGGCCGGATTGTATTTCTACAGCACTAGATTACTCATTTCAAAAGGGCGGACCACTACTTCAACTCGTAGGACCGCTACTTCAAAATGTTGGATCCCCAAAATGCTGGGGAGCCAGACCATGATATCAAAGCAAAACATCGATTGCTCTTTCGAAATTTGAAATGCCGGACCGTTACTTCGAACAAAGCATCGACCGCTACTTCAAACAAATCTACTTCGAACAAAACATCGATTGCTCTTTCGAAATTCGAAATGTCGAACCGCTACTTCAAAATGTTGGATTGGCAAAATTCTAGATTGCCCATTCGAAATGCAGAAGCCGAACCATGATATCAAAACAAAACATCGATTGATCCTTCAAAATTCGAAATGCCAGCCAAAATGTTGGATTGCCCATTTGAAATGCAGAAGCCGGACCATGATATCAAAACAAAACATCGATTGTTCCTTAGAAATTTGAAATGGCGGACCGCTATATCAAACCATCGACTGGCCCTTCAAAGTGTGGGACCCTAACTTAACACCGGATTGCCCATTTGAAATGCTGGATTGCCCATTCTAATTGCCTGCCCCTTCAAACAAATTGTAATGCCAGATTGTCCGTTCGAAATGCAAGCCCCTTCAAACAAACTGTGGGATCGTAACTTCAAATTGTGGGACTGTAACTTCAAAACATCGCCATCGTCGGACCACCCTCTCCTGCCCCTTCAAACAAACTGTGGGATAGTAACTTCAAATTGTGGGACCGTAACTTCAAAACATCGCCATCGCCAGACCACTTGTTCAAAATGCCGGACCTCCCTCTCCTAACAAATTATGGACCACTTGTTCCCTCTCCAACGACGACGAAAATAATTTGTTAGGCGAGGGAAGAATATTTTCCGAATCTCCCTCTCCAACGATCACTTGTTCAAAATGCCAGACCTCCCTCTCGAACGAAAATAATTTGTTAGGTGAATGCCAGACTTCCCTCTCGAATGAAAGTAATTTGTTAGATGTGGGAAGAATATTTTCCAGACCTCCTCCAACGAAAATAATTTATTAGGTAAGGGAAGGGTGTTTTTGTTCAAAAATAATGAACACAGGTTTGCTAAAAAAAAGATGGATAGGTAAAATGTGTAAAAAGTCCATTTTGGAGATTCTTTCTGTGATTTTTTATTTTTTTAATTAATTAAGGTCTCAATTCTACCCCACCTTGGTTCCATTAATGGCCTTAGCTCTACAAGGCATAAGCTTTTATATATTCATTTCGCTGATTTCAACTATAGTTTTTTAGATTTATTTTTTGTTTTTTTAGCTTTTCACTTTAATTAACTTATACCTCCCTGAATTATGTTGGGGTCTACACTAGCCCACGTAAGAAAAATCTCCCTGCATTGTATTAATATTTATTTTACCCGAAAATTTATGTACAAATGCTATTTAATAAAGACAATTTTCAAGTCACCCAATGAACAATTTAATTTTTTATCTGTTTCTTTTGACTTAATTTTAAAATGTCTAAAAAAATTACATTATTTGGAATTGAAATATGGGAAAATATGACATTGGCCCCTAAAATTTGGATCAATCCCGTAGTATCCCCTAAAAAAGTTCTAAAAAGTAGAACCCATCAACTTTCGTCCCAAAAAGTAGACCCAACACTTTTCTGTCCAAAATGCCATCCAAAACTCCAGAAAATCTGAACCCCGGCAAATTTCCGGCCATCCATCTTCTAAACCTTTCAAAACCTCTAATTTCCCTGCCAACACAATCGGAATCCATTGCTTTCCGGCCGAAATGTCAAGGGGAATTCCAATTACTACTTCTTAAATGGATATCTTACGGAGCTGTATTTTCATCCTTTGCTTGTTTACATTACAAACGCTGGATTGTACGGAGAATAATGGTTAGATAGAGTTCTCTCTATACCCAATCCAAAAGATGTCTCCCTCCTAGTAATGGTTTGAGGTCTCCTCTTTTTTTTTGGTTTTCATTGGGGGAAGACAGATCTCTACTGTTTTTTAAAATAGTTTAGAAGTTAGTTTTTTTTAAGATGTTAGTGAGGTCGTATGGGAATAATAACCCAACATAGTGGTTGGGGTGTCTAGGGTTTAGGGGTGCTACTACCACGACCCCAGCTACTTTCCCCTATTATTTTCTCTTGCAAGCTGAAAAGGAGAGAGTAGAGGAAATTTCAGCACAAACAAATTGAGGTTTTTTTGGGGAGAGAGGAGAGAAAAAAAAGGCTGGCAGAGCGATGGCTGATGGGAGACTCATTTACTCATTTGTATTTCCAGTGATGAATGGCGGAGCTGTTGAAAAATTTGAGAGAAGAGATGAACCCACTCCAAGTATTAAGGGCAGTGTCGTGAGACTATCGATCGCAAAGGTCAGGCTTTTACCATAACTGTGAGAACTCCATAAATTTCTATATACCTCTCCATGGCCATGAAACTCTTCTTAAAAAGGGATGGAGGAGGCCGTTCTTCAACGTTCGGCGTCCTCCTGAAATCTTTGAGAAAACGTGGCCCTGTAATTTTGGGAAGTAGGTGGTTACTTTCTAGCCGTTAGATAACGACATTTTCTCTCTCTAAAAAGCCTCCTTTTTTAGTGATAAGCATTAAATTATAAGAGAGAGAAATATTGCACGTTTAAAGGCCCCATGACCACACACACGTACGAAGATCTCCACTTGGCCATGAGGGCCAGATATATTGAAATATCATAAAGTCTTTACCACTTAATGAATTTAACATTTATATGCATATTTTTGTCATGAGACTTTCATGCAAGTGCGATTATACATCTCATAACAAAAAATATCCAAAGTTATGTCATGGTTTTTCACGTTAATACAGTTTTTCCTCTCATGACCCAGACATCAAAAAATATCCCATTTTGGGAGTTCCTAACTTAAATATTTCCAAGTCCCATCAAAGCTACATGATTTGATAATATTTCTGCATTCAATCCCTTTGTTAAAGGGTCTGCAATCATATCTAAAGATGGCAAATAACTTACAGTTATTTTATTCTTTTCAATAATATCATAAATATAATGATAATCAATTTCAATGTGCTAACCAATTTCAAGCTTCTTCCATATCTTTCATCTCAAAATGGGAACTTGGCCATGATTTAGTATGGTCAATCATGCCAATATCATTACTGGCTATCAAAATATCATCCATATATAATGACAATATAACAAAATTACTCCCACTATTCCAAGCATATACACAATGGTCTAACCAATTGGCTATATAACCAATTTCAGTGATTGCATTATGAAAAGTAAAGTACCATTGCTTAGAAGACTGTTTTAGATAATATAAAGATTTCTTAAGCTTGTATACTTTGTCTTCTTGGCCTTTAATTACATATCCTTCTGGCTGTTTCATGTAGATATATTCTTTTAATTCTCCATTTAAGAAAGCTGGTTTGATATCCATATGAAATAATTCTAGATCATAATATGCAAATAATGCTAGGATGATCCTAATAGAAAAAAATTTTGCTACTGGAGAATAAGTCTCTACATAATTTATACCTTTCGTTTGGGTAAATCCTTTAGCTACTAACCTAGCTTTATATTTATCAATGGATCCATTTGCATTAAACTTTTTACAGTCGATGACTTTTCTATCTTTAGGGATGTCAACCAACTCCCAAACTTGATTTCTTTTAATAGAATTAATTTCATCATTCATGGCTTGAATCCACTCAGTTGAGTCATGTGAGCTAATAATTTTATTATAGTTTCGACGTTCATCTATTGTATCCTCACTTATTAAAGAATAATTATCTTCATTCATAAATACATAAAATTCTTCTAAAGTAGTAGGTGTGACTCTAGTTCTTTTAAGCCTATTTGGTATACTTGATTCAATTGAATCATTCTCACCTGTCTAAGTAACAAGGTCTTCCAAACCCTTATCTTTATCAATTTCATGTAAGTCAATAGGCTTATTTAAAATATTTTCATCATCTATATTTTTTAAGAAATGAGCATTACGACTCTCTACTAATGATCTAATATCATGGTTATAGAATCTATACCCTTTAGAATTTTTAAATAGCCTATAAAAGAGTATTTTATAGTTTTACTTTATAATTTATCTTTATTTTATGGTGGTATAAGCACATGTGCCCAAGAACCTCAAACTTTGAATATAGTAAAGTCAGGTTTCCTACCTGTCTATAATTCATATGGGGTCAAGTCTATATATTTAGTTGGGACACGATTAATAATATACATTGCAGTATTGAGAGCCTCACCAAAAAAATGAGCTGATAAATTTGAATGGCTCATCATGGACCTAACCATGTCCGTTAGAGTTCTATTTTTTCTTTTAACCACACCATTTTGTTGTGGTGTATATGGCATAATTGTTTGGTGAATTATACCATTCTCATTACAAAATTCGGTAAATAAGGTGGAACAATATTCACCTCCTCTATCTGTTCGAAGAATTTTAATATGTTTGCCTCACTGATTTTCTACCTCAGCTTTATATTATTTAAATGTTTCTAATGCATCCAATTCTTATTAATTAGGTATACATATCCATAACGCGAAAAATCATCTATAAATGTTATGAGATATTCTATACCTTTATGTGTTTTCACATTTAATGGGCCACATATATCAGAATGAACAATACTAAGTAGTTCACTAAACTTTTTCCCTATTAGGGAAATGCTTCTTAGTTAATTTATCAGAAATACATAGTTCGCATGTTTTGAACACAATTTCTCCTAAATTGGGGAGCAAGCCTCTTCTAACCATTTGATTCATTTTGTCTTTATTTATATGTCATAATCTTAAGTGCTATAAATATGGATCATCCATACACATAAAAACATCAAAATAAGCATCAAGATAACCAGAAAATGATGAACTTTCATTAATATTCAGTCAGTACAAATTCTCAACTTTAGTATTATACACCAAAGCTCTAGAATGCTTCTCAACGGTCACCCGACCAGATCTATGGACAAAAATCAAATTGCGCATCATATTGGGCGCATACAATGTATCAGTCAATAAGAGATTTGTTCCTCCTGGTAAACATAGCTTGAAAGTATCAACATCTAGTACATCGTAGTAGGTTTCATTTTGCATTTACATCTGCTGGTTACCGACTGCAATCTCCTTCAATTCTGTGAATCTGTCTTTGGTCCTCGAGACATCGAGTGGAGGCTGAGTCAACCCACAATTTCTCAAGTAATGGTCGGCAACTATTGATTCTAGAACTATACAGATCAAGTTATTTTTTTTATTTTGATTATTTCGAACAGGGTTGTAATTCTGGGTCCTATTTTTATTTTTCAGCTAAGGACAATTAATCTTGATGTGCCCAATTTCTTTACAATAAAAATAAATCTTTTCAACCATATTCTTTTGATTTTTAAAATTTCTCCTCTTTCCCTTATATCTATTATTTTTTTTATAATTGAAAAGTTTCTTGGGGATCTGATAAAGATGAACTTTGGGCAAAGTGGAGCTCATTTGACTTCTTCCTCATTCTTCTCTCAGCTTCAATAGTAAGATGCATCAGAAGATTTAACATGGTCATCCCTTGTGCAGAATGGTTCAATGTAATTATAACATACTCCCAAGATGGAGGGAGACTGTTAAAGACAATGGACACTTGCATGCGATCAGGGACTGGATTCTCAGCTACAGCAAGGTCTTTTGCGAGCACTGTCATTTTATTGACATGCTCAGTCACTGTGTCCGTTTCTTTCATTCTGCAATAATTGTATTTTTATAACAACAATTGTACATGGGTCTCAGAAGTGGTCCCATACTTTTCAGATAGGGCACCCATCATACTTTGAGCTGTGGTGTAATCCTCAAAGACTCTAATTTAATCATCCTCTATAAAGCTCAACATAGTAGTCTTAGCTACGTTGTCTTCTTCTAACCATTTTTTAAGTCGCCTTCTGGCTTGACCATTGGCATTAGGCTCTAAAACTGGTGGTTCTGTTTTTAGGACATAATCTACCATATATTGAAAAAGAATATATCTAATTTTTCTTTTCCACATCAAAATTTTGATCCCATTGAGTTTTTCAAGTTTGGATAGCCTAGATGCCACTTTAAATTTTTAGATAATATGTGTTTAAGCAAGGGTTGTTTGCTAGTTAACTCAATAGGTTTGCCGACTCTCAATGAATTGAGACCTCAAAAAAAAAAAATTTTCTCGAACAATTTATGTTTGAACTGTTGGGAACGGTAAGTTACGAACCCACCACGCTTCCACACTTTGCTCTGATACCAATGTTGAAAAACTTGAGGGAAGAGATGGACCCATTCCTAATAATAGAGGCAGTGTCGTGAGACTATCGATCGATCGCAAATATCAGGCTTTTACCAAAACTGTGAGAGCTTTATAAATTTTTGTGTACCTTTCAATGGCCATGAAACCTTTTTTAAATAGAGATAAAGGAGACCGTTCTCCAATATTAGACTTCTTTCTAAAATCTTTGAAAAATGGATGATTACTTTTTAGCCGTTAGATAATATCATTTTCTAAAAAACCTCCCATCTTTACTGTAAACATCAAATTATCAGAGGGAAAAATATTGAACATCTAAAAGCCCCATGGCCACACACGTACCAACGGGTGCAAGATGGAAACGGGGAGAGAGAGAGGGAGAGGTTGGAGCTTTGGAAAGGGTTAAGGTCCTGAAAGAGGGCAGGGAGCCGAAGTGAGAAGGGTTTCAGCATCAACCCAAACCCATTTAAAGCACTAAGGGCGATCCTTCTCGCACTCGATCGAGGAAAAATTAGTCTGATACATGTCATGCTCTAAGGGTCACAGTCACACTTTCTAGCTCTAAACCTTGACGAAGGCACTTCCCTCGCTATTTCAATATCTCTCTATAAACTATTTGCAGCAAGGGAAAGAAAGGGCGTAAAGGAAGCTACCGGTCCTCCCATTACAGCAAGCCACTGGGTATGGTCCTCATTCTTTCTTTCTTTGTTGGGTGTTCTTCATTCATCAGAACATAAACGATCTTCTCCTTTTTTTTTTTTGAGTGCAAAAGTGTTGTTAGTCCATTAACACTGTAACTGATGATCTTCTTCTAAATCTTCAAAATCATGGCCTTGACAAAAGCCCAAACCCCAATTCCTCATTTCCCTTGTCATTCCTCTCTCTCTTCATTCTTATGTTCAACAGTTCTCCACAAAACCCTCTTCTCTCACTTCTCCTTCTTCTCTCATTAATGATGGAGCGGCCTTACCTTCTTCTACTTCTTCTTTCATGGTTAATCTGTTTGTGGACTCTTTTGGGTTCTCAAAGCAAGGAGCCATTGCTGCATCTTCCCAGCTTCTCCATGTCAAAAGCCCTGAGAAAGCTCTCTCGGTACTAAACTTCCTCAAAGCCCAAGGTTTTGAAGCAATCCATATCCATACAATTATCAGCAAGCGCCCCCAACTTCTTGCAGCCAATGTCGAGAAAAACCTAGTACCCAAATTCAAATTGTTTGAAGATTTGGGCCTTTCTAAATTCGATCTTGGGGCCGTCATCTCTGCAAATCCATCCATTGTTATGTATTAGCTTAAACAAAAGACTTCTCCCTAACATTCTCTTCCTTAAAAACTACTTGGATCCCAAAGGTTTCTTGAAGTTTCTCAAAGGTCAAGGTCGTCGTGCATTGGTGTCCAAGAGATTGCAGCCCAATGTTAGGTTCATGGAGAGCCAGGGAATTGGCGGCTCGAAGTTGAGAGCACTCTTATTGCAAAAGACACGCTTATTTGAAGTGAAGTCCATTAGGCTTATAGAAATCACAGAGAAAGTTAAGGAATTGGGTATTGAATCTCACTTTAAAATGTACTCTCATGCTGTTGGGTTCATGAGTTTGATGAGCAAGGAGATATGGCAGAGGAAATTTAAGTTCTTTAAGAGCTTTGGGTGGTCAGAAGAAGATATTCGCACCGCTTTCCAAAAGATGCCTGTAATCTTTTGTTTATCAGAACAGAAGTTGCAAAAGACTATGGATTATTTCATCAACGAACTTAAATATGACGAGAAATATCTGTGTTTTCATCCACGTATATTCTGTTTTAATTTAGAGAGAAGGTTAATCCCAAGGATTAATCTATTGAAAGTGTTGACGTCAAGAAAGTTGCTGGAAAAGGATGCGAGTTTATTGACAATTTGTGTTTTATCGGAGAAGGCGTTCTTGGAGAGATATGTGTTAAGATTTGGAGAAGAGGCAGAAAATTTGCTCAATATTCATAAGGGAAACAAAGAAAACTCAAGAAATTGATACTGAGTCTTTGGTCTAAAACAGGCTTAATAGCCATTAAAATCTGAATTCCATGACTCTTATTTTGTTATATCTCTGAAAAAGAAGAACTGAATGTCAAAACTTTCTGTGTTGTGATCCTTGTGATTTTGCCTTGCTTCTCTTTGTTCTGCATTGTATAATATAGGTTACAAGAGCAGAAAAGCTTGCTAACCTCTACACAGATGCAAAATTAGATGGTGATAATTTTGGGTTTATTCTAACCATGTGATGGATTTGTCTGGAAATTTGCACACATTTTGGCCTCTCTCGCTCGATTATGCTCTCAAAACATGGGAAGTCATTGTTGGATTGCTGTGCTCATTTCTCCTCAAGTTTAGGGCTTTTTCTGGGAGGAATTTGCTGGGTTTCTCCAAATGTGGAAGCTCTAGCTAGAAAATTTGGGATTTTTTTTCCTCCTATTAGGTGGGTTTTAATTCCTGTTTGGAGTTGTGTTCAGTTGGTTAAAGACAAATTAGGGCAAAGAGAAGATTCTTTTGGGGTTTCCTTTGAAGAAAACTCTGGAAAATGTCAGCTTCATTTGCACCTTTTGATCACCCAAGAAATGGAGTGCAGTGTAGGCTCTGAACCCCTGGTTTTCAGTTGTATTCTTCATGTTCTGGATACATGATTCTTAGATTTTAGTCTTCTCTTTTGGGGAATGCAATGCTTATGAATGCTTCTTGGAATATCTTTGTTTTCTTTCTGTTTATGGTTTTGTTTTTGTGGATCTTATAAACTTTCATAGAAGGAGATCACTCTTCTTCTCTATATCCCTTTGCATTTCCTTTGTGGTGGTGGTAGTTCATCTCTGCATCTTTTTGCATTTCCTTTGTGGTGGTAGTTGTTCATCTCTGTTTCCCTTTGCATTTCCTAGTGGTGGTAGTTTGTTGAAGGGTTTGCTTTTTTTAAATTTTTTTTATTGCAAATGTGTTCTTCTATGTTCGACAGCTCACTTCCATGGACTAAGGTGACGAATCAGATGATGGTGAATTCTGGCAAGTAAAACCCAAGTATTAAATTTGACCAGAACTTGGTAGATGTATTCTTGTATGGTTTGATTAAGGGAGAGTTCATTGATGCAGTCAATGATCTTTGTGGATAAATGGACGAATCAGATGATGGTGAATTCTGGCAAGTAAAACCCAAGTATTAAATTTGACCAGAACTTGGAAGATGTATTCTTGTATGGTTTGATTAAGGGAGAGTTCTTTGATGCAGACAATGATCTTTGTGGATAATTGGAGGTATAAGCAAGTGGTTATGGAAACCCATGAGAAGCTCAAGTTAAAAAAGCTGAGAAAAGGGAATCATACAGAGGTGGAAGCTTGCACCCCATATGAAGATAAGCTTCTTTTATGGGATGGTATAGCATCCATGTGATGGATGCTTGAACGGTTGAACCTGGTTTCATTCAACAGCCCTAAAATAATTCTGTTTTTTTATTTTTAAAAAAAAAAAAATATCTTTGTCTAAAATTTTGAAGTATAGATGCTGTTTTATATGGGACATCAAATAAAAATAATAAAAAATGTTTTAAACAAAAAAATTGACCACAATATTTCCTATGTTCAAGTTTTTAGTGTGCTATCATCTATGCCCATATAAAGATCATATTTAACTAAAACAAAAAGGAATTATTTTGTGGCCCTTGGATATGGGCTCGTTCAATCTGAAGAGTCCACATTATGTGGATGGGATATTTTCCTCTTGCTTTATAGTGAATTAGTCCCCACCAATTCCCTATTCAGATCTGTGATTCCTGATCTGAATTGCTGTTTTTTGAAACATTGGTTTATAGCGAAGTGAATCCCTAATATTTATTGAGTCCAACCTACCATTTTAGTGACAATGACTCCTATTGAGATATTCTCAATGGCAAGTTTTATGTGGGATATTATAGTATTTTTATCAAGAATCTATTTATTAGTTGATCAATGGGACTTCAATATATCTGATTGAAATTTTATTAATTGTAGAGTAATTAAGATTACTAACAAGAATTCAAATTACACACAATTAAAACTATAACTGTGTAAAATGACTGAAAATATTGATCATTTCATAATACAGAATCTTTTTTGGATCTCTCTACAATCTTGGCGATGGTTTCGCATCTTGAAGCTTGAAGTTTAAAGCACCCAAGTATATGGCAATCAGCCATGGCATTCTATGCTGCCTTAGTAAGGAAAACATAGATACTTTCTTCATTGCCAACCGAGCAACTGGCCAATGCTCCCCCATTCCAAAATTTTCTGGTCCTTTATATGTGGATAACTTTGGGTTTATTTCATCCCTGAAAACTGCAATTTCAAGATCTTCGCCCAATTCGTTAATGGGTGGAGTTACTGGGGCTCAAAAGGAACCAAATAAGCCCAGGCCAACATGCCATCCACCTTATGCTTCGTGGCAGTATCCCCTTAGAGATCAGCATCACACGGCCTCATAGGTTACCTCCTTTTTGGAGATATCTTGGCTTTCAACATTGAGACAGAGGAAGTGGTTGAAGAAGTGGGAGACTATAAACCAGAACTGACCGCCTACAGGAACATACAACCCTAGACCAGGATGTTGTTGTTTGTATTGCACAAGGAAACCATGGTTCGAAAGCTGGGTCTTGGGTCTAACCCAAGAAAAGAAGTGGGTGGAAGCACACCACATTGCAGATATGTGTGACAAAATGAGCAACCATGGGTATCCACAACTTTTGGCAGGTGAGGTGCTCATTTTCACCAAAAGTGGCATCACATTAACATGTGATAAGGGTGGCAAATTGAGTGTACTTGATGAAGCTTATTGTTCTAACTTGTACATTACAATCCCACTCTGTATTCTTGGGAGTTGGTTGACAGAGGAGGACAAGTTCACAGCTCTTTAAGAACTAGGAAAAGAGGGAGGTATACTTGCTGATAACACATGAGGAGAGATTTGTGGAGGAGATAGATTGTATGAAGGGAGATTTACAGGCATGAGGAATTATATTAAATGCTAACCAAAGAAATTCATAAAAACGAAAATGGGTTGGGACCTTGGCGGTAGTACCAAGGCTTATGATGAAGAGCCCTATGATGAAGTCTCTAACTCCAGTCTCACCTAAGGATAGGGGCCCAAATCCCCACTGATTTTACCCCTATTTACCCAGAAATAGAAGAAGAAATTCATGAAAAGAAGATGGGCTCACTGAAAAAGACATTTGATGGTTGCCAATACAAAAGAAAGGTTCCCTTAAATGGGTCGGCTCATATAGGGAAAGCAAAAAACGAATTGCATATTTACTGCTGCTGCTTTTTTTTCCTTGCATAACCTCTTTAACTCATAGACTAGCCTAAAATAAAAACAGAAATATATAAAAAACAAACCGCTCTCTCTATACACATGAAGAGAATAATGTATCCTTTTTCTAGGATTTGAGCTTAGAATTTCTTATTTTATCTAAAAATTGTATTGATATAAAAATTATGGCATATATAAATCCACATATGGTGGCCTAATAAATAAAAAAAAGATGTACTTTCAATAAGGCATAGGCCTTATGAAAAAATGGGCCAAAACATCCAAACCATATTTTCTTGGGTATCTCGTTAATTTTTAAAATATATATTTTAATTTTTTGAGTTTGTCACCCAATTTGAAAATGAATCCACAACCGATTTTTAAGTAAATA